AACCCCTAAACCCTAAACCCCTAAACCCCTAAACCCCTAAACCCCTGCACCCTAGGCCCCTAAACTCTAAACCCTAAACCCCTAAACCCCTAAACCCCTACGCCCTAAACCCCTAAACCCCTAAGCCCTAAACCTTAAACCCAAGATCTTTTTCAGCAGCGGTGCAGCGACGCCTCGGCTTCTGAGTTTCGCTGATTTCGCGGCGCGCCTGGGCCTTGCAACCCGCTCCGAGGTTGCTGGTTGCCCGCATGGAGAGCATCACCAGGTTTAGGGTTTAGGGTTTAGGGATATTTAGGGTTTAGGGTTTAGGGTTTAGGGTTTAGGGATATTTAGGGTTTAGGGTTTAGGGACCTATACCTCACCGGCCGGTGAAGTTCAGAGGACTCTCGAACTCCACCTTCGTGATATGCGCAAATAGTAGATGGTGCTTCCCCGATGCGCACATATTTAGATAGCCAGTGCTGTACATAAACGTGCGGCTTGAAGGACTCATTGTTTCTATGGCGGAGTCCACAGCGAGAGTTGCCCAAACAACAGCCTTCACGTTGCTCACTAAAAAGAGGGATGCTCGTCCACCAATCTGCAGATTTGCAACCCCTTTCGGATAGTACCTGAGCCAAAACTCGCTCCCGAGCCCTAGGCTGAAGTGAGGACTGTCTACGGACTCGCCATTCGCCAGGCCCGAGTAATCTTCACTGGTGATGTTCCACTCAAAGTAGCCCCTCAACTGCGCTTTCTCCCGGCGCAACTGCTCGATAGTCGAAGCCTGCTGCTCGATGTAAGCAACAATCTGTTCAGCAGCTGGCCTTACTTGGCCAGTGTGCTGGAGGAACGAAAGGTTTAAGTCTGACGTTGTATAGTGATTACAGTACAACAAACAAGAAAAGGTCAAAAGGTTACCTAAACTATGGCTAGCCAGGTAAGCCCGTTAAATTGAAGCCCGAGCAAGCACCCGATAATGAGATCCTCTTCAGCCAAGTACGAGAAAACTTAAAATATCCCTAGGTCCTACTTAGCTAAGTGGCTCAAATTCGAGACTATATACTAATGACGGTACAACAAAAGGAAAAGGTTAAAGGCTACCTACACTATGGATAAGTGGCTGCTTCAACAGCTCGATGGACTGTGCCCGTTGCTGGTCGATTCGAGAATCAGAGCTGGACTTCTGATTGGCAACGTACTGGTTCAGTGCGGCGATCCTTGTTTGCACACGTTTTGTAAGGACACGATAAAACAAGCTAACCTTTAGGCCCAAAAAAGGGCAATGTAATCAGGTACTATTCCTCAGGGTTCCTTATTGAACCTGGACCACAAAATCCTAACAAGTCTATTCCGATTCTAGGGCCCCTATAGTACTACGAAAAAGGCTGAAGATAACTGTCTCTACTAAGGATCACTGCGGAGGCAGCGTCGCTCAGGCCTGCCTGGTCCGTGCTGTTCTCCGGTTCATCCTGGCTTCCATGCGGGTCCTATGGAGGTTCCTTTTAGGGACCCTGATATAATTACAGTTTGGGGTTTACGGTCTAGGGTTTAGGGTTTAGGTTACAGTTTACCGGGACTCTACTATATTATACAGGTTTTGGTTCAAGGTAGGGACTATGACGGAAATATTCGCCTCTAATTACGAAATAAGAGGTACACCCGAAGCCCTAAACCGTAAATCCTGAACCTTAAACCCTATAAACCCTAAATTCAATCCTAAACCCTAAAGTAAACCCTAAACCCTAAACCCTAAACCCTAAACCCAGCTCTGAAGATCCAAAACCATCAAACCAGTCCCTCGGCACCGATGTCTGTGGACTCTTCGATGCGGCGGACCCCCTGGTCCCTCCTGGGGCTTTGGGCATGCGGGTTCTTTTTAAGCGGCTTAGGGCTTAGGGTTTAAGGTTTGGGGTTTAGGGTTTAGGGGCTAGGGTTTAGGAGTTTAGGGGTTGAGTAAATGTGGGGTTTAGGGTTTAGGGTTTAGGGTTTAGGGCTTGGGGTTTTTTTTAGGGTATCAAGGGCTTTTAGGACCTTTGGCTTTAGGAGTCTGATCACGTTTGATTGGGCTTCTACCCCAAACTCATTAACCACATACTTGCGGGCCACCAAAAGCACCAGGGTTAGTTCGGGGTTCAGATAAGGTTCAGCGGGCTTTACAGGGTTTAAGGTTTAGTTTAGAAGTTAATCCAGCAATTAGCGGTTAGGGCTTGGGGGGCTGAACAGACATCCTATGCCATTATATAGGGGCCAGAATTCAACCAACAACCTTAACCACAGTCGTAAAGTCCGAATGAGGAACTCGAAGCTATAGCCTATAGTCTGCACGAGCCGGGGCACTCAGAATGCGCAAGGCTTTGGGGCTCCTCTTTCATGACAGCGCTTCCGCTGGTGTCGATGGAGTGCGTGCTGATGCGGTTGGCATCCACATTGTGGATGGCAAGTGCAAAAAGCACAAACACCCATGTAAATCTCTGCATCCTACCAAGACAATAGACAAGCCTGGGGCAAACTACGAAAACAGGCTGTGCAGCTAGCACGAGCACAAGTGGCTGCAACATGCAGTATCAGTTGAGTCACCAAGTGGTTTGTGATTTCCTGAGCTTACCCAGCAACAGAAGCTATATATGTATATAACATATATATATATATATACATGCACCTACATACATACATGCATACATAAATACATATATACATACGTACATACATACATACATACATACATACATACATACATACATACATACATACATACATACATAATGTATAAAGCTTATAAGGTGCCAGGGCAAGCTGTGCTATGCCTCACAATGCACGAGCGTGCTGTTCAGGGTCTAAAGCTCGAGCGTTTCAGGTCGAATGGCCATTTTCATTATTGGGAGGACTAGGGTTTCGCAAGGCCAAACTAACCAACAGCACGAAACGAGCAGCGAATCTCGGATTTTAGTGTTCATGCAGTCGACGCATGCCTCTATGTCAGGATTCAACCCTAAACCCTAAATACTTGGAGTCCTCGGGTTTAGGGTTGTAGATCCTTAAGACATAAACCCTAGAGATGTAGGGTCGGCAATCCTCGATGAAAGGTGTCCCTTGCCTCTTGGCCACTAGGTTTCGGGGTTTCCGACCGAAGCCCGCCCCCCCGTAAACCAAAAGGCTTACATCAACCTCAATTAACCTACCTTTGTAGGGTTCCTGAATATGATTTTCGTATATGTGAAACTGTCTAGGGTAGATTTTTGGGAGTGCCAATTAGAACATAACCCTAAACCCTAAACCCCTAAACCCTAAACCCTACACACCCGAAGGCGGGTCTGGCAGTCTCGCAGCACCACGGACAGAGCCAAGAGAGTCCAACATCCGCCAGCCCGGATCTTGCAACCCTGAAGCCCTGCTCCTAATAATCATTAATGCAGATAACAAGAAGAAGTAATATGAACAATAAACATATATATATATATATGTATAAACATATATATATATATATACATAAACACACATACACATATGTGTGTATATATATATATATAGTGCATGTATACATATAGATGTGTATATACATATATACAGATGTATGCATCAATAGTTTCAAGCTCCAGGCTCTCTTCGTAGGTTGTCAGCCTGCGGAATCACTGGCATGATTTGCCACAGGCGTGGGGGTTGGGCGATGGGTTGAGGGTTTACCTGAAGCCCCACGCAGAGAATCTGGCCCAATAGTTAGGTACTTAGGTTTCGGATAGTAGCTATGTAGGTTACTAGTGGGAGAGTATATGACTATTAGGTACTTGGACCCTGAGGGAATGCTTCCAAGGACCTTATCGTTGGGGCCCTAGAGCCCTTAAGGACCCAATGATGAGTGTGAATTGAGCAAAAATCCTGATGTAAGCAGTTCGCATCCTGATCAAATAAGGGGGCTCAAGATTCCTGTAGCAATGCAGTTTCTATCGTATCTTAATGCCAGAAAGACCTACCAGTGCATTTTGTAGGGTTCCTTTTTCTGGCTTCCTTTGCTTATAATTATAGCCCTATGATATAGGGGCCGTAATAATTAGAATAGGGTTTCGGGGGGCCATTATATCATGCTACGATCATAGCAAGGAACCCGCCCCAAAATAGTATTGGTTATTATTGAAGCCCCTACATTATGCATGTAATCAAGAAGTTCAAAGACGTTTGTTGCTGCTTCGGCTTTGTGCTGCACGACGCCTGGGCTTGGATACTCCTGGAGCAGATTGCAAACACTACACGCACAGAAGAGCTTTGAACGTCTTGGTTGTTCTGTTCCCCTGTCTTTCTGTCCCTCTCGCCTGCGTTTAGGGTTTAGGGTTTGGACATCACTGCTTTCACAGCCACTCCGAGACCTGCTGTTGCCACGACTACCACCTGCCGCCTGTCTGAGAAGAACATAGCTGTGATGGGCACCGAACTCTAAACCCTAAACCCCTATAGACCCTATTTTGCACACCATATACCCCAAACTCCTTCCCTATTTTGCACACCATATACCCCACACTCGTTAGCCCTAAACCCCTACTAAACCCCTTTTCCCTCAGAGCGGCACCTGCGGATCCGGAGGAGGCATCAGATGGCCAGGCGACGGTGCTGCAGGTCCTGAAAAGGAGCTCTGCATGATCTTCCGGGTTCAAATGGGATCCCCTCGTCTCTGAAATATAAAGCTTTTGAAGTCCAGTATCCTAGGGGAACTGGTACCCCAAAAAAATTCAAGCTTACCTACTCTACTACTGAGAAAAGAACAGACCCATGTTTACCGACCTGACAATAGCTACTTAAAGGCTCATGGGACTTAGTAAGTAGGGATATAACCAAGGTAACTATACTTATACCCCCAATTAGGGGATTTAGAACCTTACTTATTAAGTCCCATGATCCTCCAAGTAGGCGATTCTATATCGTCTGCTTGCTTCTCCTATGGATTTGGCAGGCTTCGACTCGGTTTCTGTATGGATCTGACCGCTTTCTTTACATGGAACTGTGCGATGCCTTCCAAAACAACCACGTATCCTTGTGACCCTATAGCCCCATGTGCACAACCCACACCCTAAGCCCTAGATGTGTCTGGAGCATCCACCTCACCTTACTATCTGCCTGAGACTTCGCCATCCGTAGGGGTTAGGGTTTAGGGAGCTTACTGATAAGCTTATGGGTTTAGAATGCTGGGCTTCTCGAGTCTTGGGGTCTAACTAAGGCGCTGCAGTCATAGGGGTTGAGGGCTTAGAGCTGCAGAGCTATGGTGGTTAGGGCTTAATAATTCTCGAGGTTGTGGGGTCATAGGCATAGGTCATAGGTCTTAAGGTATGGAGTTTTGGGTTGACTTGAATATGTGCTGATTGGAACCTTATTCCCGTTTTGGCTTTTGCATCCTGGTTTCAGTCACTACACCCCCCAACCCTAAACCTTACTAAACGCACCTCCTCCGTCTTTCTCAGCACGGACGACTGCATAGGACCTAAGCAGCATCGACCCATGAAAGCTGAGGCTTTGGTGCGTGGGAATAATGATAACTATCAGTTTAAGTCTCGTGTGTATCTACATATAAATAAAACAAACAGATATATATATATATATATATGTATGTCTAGATCTGCACCTCTATCTGTATATATATATATACACATATCTACATCTTTATCCATATCCATACCTATTTCAATATCTATGTCTAGTTCCAAAGCTGTATCTATACTATTCGTAGTATTGGTTTGAAAAGAATTTACGAAACCCAAGACGGATGTCGTGTCAACACAAGAAACACAATACTCAAAAACCCAAGCCCCATGGCAGGCCGCTCTCAATCATTCACCCGCCGGAATCTTAAACCCTGGACCCTAAACCCTAAATCCTAAACCCTAAACCCTAAACCCTAAACCCTAAACCCTAAACCCAAAGCCCTAAACCCCAAACCCTAAACCCAGGACCCTACGAAATCCATATTCATGAATCGAGCTCCTGATCCTGCAATGCTGCTTTGCATCCCCACAGCCCAGAAGTCTAAAGGCTACCTCGGCACTGGTCACTAGGCTGTTGTGGCCCCTGTGGCTTTATGCCACAGCTCCCGGTCGACTCTTGCCCACGACCGTGGTTGACTCAGGTTTAATACAGGGCTGGATGCTTCAAGCTTAGCCCAGCGATAAGCAGGACTTCCGGGCGTTGTACTTCGAGTGTCCAGGGCCCATGATGGCTCTCTGTTTACGGAACTTCAAGTCAACTACCTCCGCCTACAAGTACATACATAGTTTGTATAGATACATAGACTTACGTTTGAAAGTACGAACACGAAAAAAACATTTTGTTGTACAGATAGATATATGTATGTATGTGTATATATAAATATGCATACGTACACTTCTGCACTGTGAGAGTCTATGCGTGTACATATACACATATGTTGTGCATATGTGTGTGTATATATATAGGTGTGTATGTGTGAGGGCATCTGTCCTCCTACGCACATATACACATAAGAACATACTTACAGACATAGAATGCACACATACATGCATACATACATACATACGTACATACATACATACATACATACATACATACATACATACATACAAATATACGCACATGAATGCATGCATACAGGCACAGACACATCCACAGACACATACATGCATGCATGCATGCAGGCATACGTATATACTCCGCACATATACACATATGTGTGGAGAACCTTTCAACGGTAACTTGAACATGAACTAGGAGTGCATGGTGTGATACTCTCTGGGAAGTCTTGGCCCCGAGCGCTCGCGGGCGCGGTGCGGCTCCTAGCACCGGTGGAAGAAAATTCGAGCTTCAAATCAAAGTTTTGTAGCGGCACCAGAAAAGTGTGTCTGTATTTCCATGAGTGTAAATGTGTGCACACACACCTATATATATATATATATATATGCATCTGAACATGACACATGCATTGACATCTGTACACATGTCACAGCACTTGTGTAGATGCTGGTTTCCGTCTTAGGCTGCAAAAGTCTGACAGCAACACTCATCAGGGCCAGAGGACGAATTTGGAGATTTGGATGAGACTGGGCTTTTGTCGTGCGATTCCTGCCTTGCACAAAATGGCAGGATGAAGCTAAAAACTTTGAAAAACCCTATATCCGAAAACCCCGAATCCTAAATCCAAACTGATAAACCCTTCAAACCACAAACCCTCAAAATAGAGGGGCCTAAATAATTACCAATACCATTTTGGGGGTTCCTTACTATGGTTATAGTATAACATACCCCAGAACCCTATTCAAAAACTTAAGGCCCCAGACCCTAAACCCTAAACCCTAAACCCCGAACCCCAAACCCTCATGCACCAAAGCACTACACAACTAATGGTCCTTTGATCTCAGAACTTCGAGGGGTGGCAGCCGTCGGCGGTGTCCCGGGCATCCCAGCGGCCTCTTTGTCGTTTCCTTTAAGCGTTCTATAGGATTTTGGATTTC